GTGTGTGTGTGTGTGTGTGTGTGTGTGTGTGTGATAGCCAGCCACCCCTGAGAATGTGTCTCAGTAAACGTCTGAGGCCCGTGACCTTGAAGAGATGGAGGGAAAGAAAAAATAGACAAAGAGAAAGGAACACACAGGGGGAGCACTGAAGGAGACAGAGGACGAAACAGATAACTGAAGGAGAGAGGAGGAAGCAGAATGAGGAGAGAAGGATTGGAAAGAGGGAGGACTGAAGGATAGAAGACCATAAAACCTCCACATCCAAACCGTTTATTTAAGAGTCTGAATGTGACAATGAAAGTGTCCAAAAGTAAAAAAGAATCCTACTACAGGCAACTTTAAAGCTCCATAATTAACTTGTCAATTTTTTGTGTCAAGTAAAAAACGACATGTTGTGTTTAATAGAGTAGAATAAAGTTAAATTAAAGTTTCATTTCAACTTTATGGCGGACATGAAGTGAAACAGAAGTTCTGATGTGTTAGTGTGCTGGACTAAGCTAAGCTAACTAGCCTAGCCCCATATTTGCTATACATCAATGTTCGTAAAACACATCTGGAGCTGAGACAGGTGAGGAACTAAAAGATAAACCGACCCCAAACATTTCCACTTAACTCTTAACTAAACGATCCTCTGACGATGAAGAGGAAAAGCTTTGCAGAATGTGTTAATGACTGGGCTTACTGGTCAGCCACACACACACACGCACACATGTACACACACACACATGCACACACACACACGTCTGGACCCGCAGTGTGCCAGACCGGATGGCACTATAAGTGCGTCTGCCAACTGCTAACAGCTCTCCCAGAGAGGCTCTCACTCAGACACACAAAGATCCACTGTGCACACACACATTCACAGGCCAACCATACCAACACATTCAAACATAGCACACAAAACCCACGCTACTGCCACAAACACACACGCACCTCAAATTTCTGCCGGAGCTCCTCGTTGCCCTCCTCCCCCTCCGGAGGGACGGGGACGTTGAAGTACTCGCCTTCTTCCTGAGAGAGCAACTTGAACCTGAAGAGAGAATATTTCCAGTCAAATCAATTCCCAATTCATTTGTACAATTTTAGCGTTTAACTGCCGCCATTAGCCGAGGCTGCTGACAGGTAGGGCAAACTGATTTGATGTCTCGAAGAATAATCAGCTGATAATTCAGTAATTCACTCTCCTTCATGGTGATGTAGCAAAAGCCTGAGAGAGACGGGCCAACAGCCTGGCTCACACGCTCATCATTTCACACAATCAACTGAGCAATTTTCCTTATTGGCCCAATTACAACTAATAGCACAACCTTTATATATCCCACAGCAAAACTAACATATTCATAGAAACAACTCTTTGCTGGGTTTTAATGCTTTAGTTTCACACATCTCATATTTTTACCTTGAAGCAGTTGATAACAGAGTGTGTGTTTCTTGAGATCACAGTGACCTTGACCTTTGACTACCAGAATTAAATCAGTTGATCTTTGAATGCAACTGAACGTTATTTACGTTTCTTCAAGGTATTCCTGAGATATCATGTCCACAAAGCAAAACATGAGGTTTATGAGGTCACTAGTTTAACCTTTGGTGTTCTTAGATGTGGACAAACCACCAGACATGACACCCATTTGAAATAGATTAAGCTGTTGACAATCTATATTGAGTTAGTAACCAGAAACTTTAGGACTTTAATTTAATTTCTTCTCTCAGAGGAAACAGCTTCCTGAATGAGCTGAGTAATAAATCTAAACACAGCAGCTCAAATATACAGCTCAGGCAGCAAGCAGCCATTGTTAATACGAAAATATTGACTACAGCCACTTGTTTCAGGAGCCCTGCACAGTGGGAACATCTAAAAGAATCAAACTGCAAACAGGTTGCAGCTAAAGTATTTTTCAGCTAACGATCTTCTGCAGGCTGTTGAGATGAATGAACCTCATTGAGCAATAAACACTTGACTTCTTTTTAAACTAAAGAGCAATTATAGACATGAATAAATTCTTTAACACAAATTCCTCCCACAGAGAACAATAACCGACAGAAAGATACAGAACTCTTACAATCTTTCTTCCCTTTGGCTCCCGCTGCCAGGAGGTGTGAGGTTTTTAAGCTGCACATGTGTAGATGGAGTAAAGCAAAACACACACAGGTTCTCTGAATATTGGGTTTATAATGCCATCTCTCCACCTCCACCATTCCACCTCAAACGCTGGCACCTCATTAAAATCCCTGACAGGGCAGCGTCAGCGAAAAGAGAGGGAGATAGAGAGATAGAGAGACCGAGTGAGAGAGAGAGTGGGAGGGAGGCTAGTGGAGAGATATAGAAGCAGAGATAAAGAGATGGGGTAGAGATGCTTTGGCACCGAGTATCACCAGAATGAAAAGAGGAGGGAGCTCCGACTAAAGTATTTCTCCAACAGCGCAGTAATGAACAAGGTCACCTTCACTCTCTCTCCCTCCTCTACCTGTACAGTTTCTCCGCCTCACATCTGTCCACCTCCTCCATTCATCCCTCCGTCCCTAATTTAATCTCACCATCCATCCACTCCTTGCTTCTGGAGCTCCGAGATGCCAAAGGACAGCGATCCCATGAAGTCGTTGCGACTGGTCAGGTCCCAGTCCCATATCTCCACCGACAGACGGCGGTCCTTATCGTACTCCTTCAGGTGGCTGCAAGAGAAACGAGGACAATAAATGATTGGATGTTGGCCAAAGGCCTTTTTTAAATATTTTGACATTCTCATATTAAAAGCTTTTTAACTTTATAGCCCCATGAGAACAGCCGGACTGCATATTTTATATCCTATAACAATTTGTGGACTCTGAAAAGTGCCTAGTAACATTTCTCTGGTAATCACTTTCACTTTATTTCTCAAATACAAGATTTTTTGTGGTAGCTGTCTAGCCTGTGTACATTTGGAGTTTTTTATTTTAATTTATTAGATGACAGCAGAAAATGCCTCTCAAACCTAGCATCTGCACACAGATGCCTCAAAATGCAAATCTCCATCCTCTCCCATGCAAACTGCGATGTGGCTTATTAAGAAAATAATTGGAGCCAAGTGGAGGAGCCAACGCCGAAAGCAAATTTTTTTATGAATATAAGGAGCCAGATGTTTTAATCTGAGCGCCAGCAGTTACACATGGTTGGAAAGATGAGCATAATGTGATACTCTTAAAACACTGCACTGAGCAAGTGAGAGAGATGAAAGAGAAGACAGATAAAATGGGGCGAGACTGGAAGGAGAGGCGAGAAAAAGGCAAAGAGCGACAGAAAAATAAATGAAATGAGAAACCACCGAACGTGGTGTAATGGAGCCTTACAATTTAAAGGTCTCATTCCAGGTGGGGTTCAGGCAGCACTTTATGGTCTTGGTCTTCTGTTTACTCTCGCTGCGGGGGTCTGGAATCAGTTTGAGCTTCACGTAAGGGTCTGAGAGTCCGTTGGGGTCCATGGGAACCAGATTCCTGGCCTCTTGGACTGGAGGGAGCGGCAGAAAAAAAGGAAAGGAGGACAAAAGAGGGACATTTACTGATTTAATTAGAACTGTAGGTTATCTGAATGAGTCGGTTAGATGAGTCACACAAACATGGCAGAAACCCTTGAGTTGTACCGGTACATGTGACACACACACACACATTCACACGTCCCCTTCTACACAAACATACACTGAACCACCCTCATTTCAATTTACGGACGACCCACTCTAACACAGAGGGGGGTTAAAGTCATGGGGTTGCCAGATTTGCTGGTAATGACCATGTAGACAGATGAAGGCTGTCACCTCTAACACTAATCCTTATTTTGTGGCTTTCTATTATTGGGCTGTAATTGTATTCCAGACTGTAAAATCCCTAATTGGGTTTTTAGTGTATATTAATAAGTGTGTACGTGTTCAGTTATTGTTGCTGGTCAAGTTGTGAGGTCACATCCAATTACCAGAAGCAGGGAGGAATGCTCACACACACACACCACACACACAGGTCTCCACAAAAGCTGGGATCCGAACTGGCAACCTTCCATCTGTGAGGCACGAGATAAATTCTGCAGATGAAAAATGTCACATTTAAGTGTGATATAATTCTGAGGCTGCTCCTTCTTGCCGCCACAGTGCACCTGAGTTCACCTGAAAGGCCGTCTATGTCTACAATGTTTTTCTGAAACACACACACACACACACAGCTCTTAGTGCACTGTGGAGCATGCAACACCCTTTTTGTTAAAACAAGCACTGAAATGAGAGCTCGGCAGTGAGAGAACAACTCAAGATGTCAGAGAAAAGCGGTTTTTCATGCAGCTAAAACACTCGGCCACGCTAAGAGAAGTTAACCACAGCACAGACCTAATGGCCAACATTAAGCCCTCAGTGGAGCAGGTCAATAAATATTAGATGATGCCTGTTAAAGTGACCATCAAATGCTGGTTGAGCAGAGCTGTAAAGAGGGTAGCATGTCAAATGGTCTCCAAGGACAATTACAGTAAATACAAAAGTGTGTGTTTTTGTGAGTGAACCAAAGCGAGCAAATTCATCTGCATGTACAGGTGTGTCACATGCATGTGACTGGCAATGCATGTGTGATTGCATAGAATATGAGCATGTGGGTCTGGGTGTGTGAGTGAAAGAGAGAGAGGGAGGGGGGTAATGCGTGTATTGGTGTCTACAGGGAGGGCGAGTGGAGATAAGAGTGCAGTAACAGCAGAATACTCTATGTGCACAGTGGCGTGGGTGTTGGCAGTGCACCTTCTCCCATGTGAAGCAGCCTCACTGGAGTCGGAGCAGGATTCTAATGTTCTGTCCAACTTCTACTCTCTCTTGCACATGTGCCGTAAAAACACAAGTGAAGTCTTTTGTCGGATGATTCCTCTCGGTGAACATCTCTTCTTCTGTGTTGTCAACTTGTGTCAACGCTACACAGACGTTCATTCAGGCGAACAGTCCATGAGGTTCGTTACCTCAGGAACTGGAATGGGACTTCTTAGCTCCACCATGAATTATGGACCATTTGTTTGTTTTGTAAGAATGATTACACAAAAACAACTGAAACAATTTCCATGAAAGTTGGTAGAAGGATGTAACATGAGTCTGGGAAGAAACCATTAAATCTTGGTGCAGATGTGGATCTGCGGGCAGGTCCAGGAATTTATTTTCTCTTTCTTTAAAACCGTGAGATCAGGAAATAATTCATTGAATAAATGTCCCTGAAAAAAATCATGGACATTTAGCGACCTTTCTTTGAAACCGTCTGCGTGTGTGTAATTTGAGCTGCGAACATGATTAACATAAAGAAGTAGAATTTCACAAAAGTCTGCCGAATGAAATGGATCAGCTTTCCCCCCAAAGAAAATGAGCGCTTGATTGATGCTGATCACAGCCGTAGCGGAGGAGACATTGTGCATTCGGTTCACACTCCGACTTGAAATGACAAGTCCAACATCTGCTGTTTGTTCTTTCAGCATGACCCGAGGCCTCTTCTGATTTCTGTTCAGCAGTCGCTCAGTGTTTCTGCTGAGGGGGATCTTCCTGCCACGTTGTGAATATTTTGAATAAAGAAAGAGCCTGAATAATCTGCACAGGTTGGAGGAACAGTGTGACGCCTGTGTTCGGCGTTTCCAGTCAGTGGGAATCTAACACAACACAGCGCAGAACAAAGCTAGTGTTGAACAGTCAACATCGCCGACAAGAATGCCTGCAAGTGTCTTAAAACGGGACGCCATGATTCACAGAAACCCCGATTGTCTCAACAAGTTCCCACTTAATGAAAATGAATGTAACTGATATTCCTCATATTTGTTCATGTTCTTTAGGAAGCTTGAAGACACAACTTTTTGAGCCGACACTCCCCGAGTCGATATTATTGACTTTTGCAGTTCCAAGGGAAAGTGTGTGTGTGGGCACCTCTCAAAGCCCCAATCGCACATTATACCCCCCCCCCCCTTTGCTGGAGTGTCCTTGAGAGAGATGCTGATCGTCTGCTATGCCCCTGACCCTGAGCTTTGATCACCCCACGGAGAAGGGGCAGTGTGGGCATGCAGCTGATCGATAAAGTGACACTCTACACCCGTGTCGATTGCTCTGATTGAATCTGCATCTGAAAGTCCACGGCACAAGTGCATTGTTCGGCGTAGCAGCCATTTCCTCCGGCTCTGTTAAGCTGTGGAATAATTCCTGGTGCTTCTACTATTCGATCTCTGTGCTGGTGCATTTTTTTTTTTTTCTACCTCTCTGCAATGAGGCAGCAGGCCGCTCATGGCTGCACACTGACCCCTGTAGACAGGAATGAGTACTGCACCACTTTTGCTTCTTACTTGCTTGACTATGATCTGCAACCACAAGTACGATGAGATGATTTTATCCTCAGCGGCTGAAGACAGGAGCAAAACACAAACAGTGTTTCATCGGGGAAAAAAGATTACAAACATACAATTCTAACATGTCTAATAGAATAAAAAATCTTAAAAATAAGATAGTTGGTTTATAGTTTCCTTGGAAACGCCTACAATTTACTTCTATCCGAATGCATTTCATTGTTTTTGATGTTGCTCTATTGTGCAGCCTTTACTGCTGCCCCAGCAGTCTGATGTCTTATCATTTTCCACAGAAAATCCCAGCTAATGATCAGTCTGCGAGCGTGGGAACCAGGAAGAGAGGGGAGAGCAGAGCAGCACAAAACAAAAAGGAGGAAAATCTGCTGCCACCTGGACGTAACACAAGGAGCTACAAGAGTGCAACAGGCTGGTGATGTTTTCTATTTATCAGCTCATTAAAACATTAGTCAGATAAATCAAATCTTCAGTGAAAATGTGGATGCATCTTTAACATAAATCCTTAGAAAGGAGACTGATATTTTATCTGTATAAATTAATTTCACTGGAACAAAACTAATAATCTAGTAGATAAATCTAGTGAAAGAAAGCTCTGCTGATGATGTGAACGTGCAGCAGTTAAAGAAAAAGGTTCCTTTTGATGCTCAAACCTTTTGAAAACAATATGAACACAAGTATATAAATATTAACATCTTGATTTTCTCGTGGATTTTGACCGACGTGACTCTGAGCAACACACTGCTTCACACTCACACAGCGACACCAGTCATTGCTACGAGCACATCCATCATCTTCAAACCCAAACAGACATGATGTAAAAATGTCTTCCACATCGTCTCTGTTGCATCAGTACATCACATCTGTACGTTTGCCAGCAGAGGGAGACATAAGACCGTTATTCTACAGTAATGTCAAGGTAAAGTGTGTGTGTGTGTGTGTGTGTGTGTCATACTTACTGGTAACGGTGAGTACATTAGTCTTGACCTCAGCGGTGATCTGGATGCGACCTCTCCTCTCGGTGTGGTCTGTCCCACACAGGCTCGGCACATTGGCCACACATCGCTTATGGATGTTCATCATGCAATCTGGAAAACAAACAAACGCAGGTTTTGTTTGTTCTTTGAACGTATTCTCTTAACATTGCACTATGTAGTGTTGTATATTTTCAAAAAATGCCAAAGCTTGAATATTAAGTAGAATAACAACATACTGATGTCAGCATAAGGTTTAAACAGTCCTGTGATGATGGCTGCCATGTCAGAGCAGTTGTAAAATAGTTTTAACTAATTTAATGCAAAGGAGGAATTGTCCTATTGACATGGACAGAAGATATTTACCTTGTTTCTGAATCCAGTATATTATGTGCTACATCTGACGCAGTGTGGCGGTGAATACTGATATAAGTGTATTTCTGCTTTAAATGAGACTATAAAGGTATATGTGTGCTAAAGGGAACATACGGTCACATCTCATGCCCTGATGTATGAGGCCGTAGAGCAGAGAGCCACAGTGGTCACAGAAGGTCGGGCTGGAGTAGGTGTGGATCTTAAACTTGTGCTTTGCTCTCGGGTCCTGGAGAGAAATAGAAAGATGGAGACTGTAGATCAGACACAAAGAAACATAATTGGCACTTTTTCTCCTCTTGTGTCTCTTTCATATTCATCTTTCGAGACTGCTCATCCACACACAAGCACACAGACACACACAGGTGGTGAGAGATCCAGGTTACAGGTTGTGTTGAAGCTGGGACACATCAGTGTGGGAGAACATACTTCGGCCAAGTGGAGCCATCAGTTATTAATCATGCAGCTATTTACTGGTTTATAAATCTCCTCACATCAACGATGCTTTGATAGCACTGAATGCTCTTTGCTAAAAGCAACATTTTATATATAAACCAGTCTAAACCATGTTGTTCCTCACAAGCCAGAAATATGAGCTGACCCAGCACCTTGTCTTCTGAAGTGTGTGTTGGCTTGTTAAGTCTGAAAGATTGTGCATGAGCCTGCGATTGCTTGTGCGCAGCCATGTGGGTTTCTTTGCACAAGTGTGCATGTGTTTGCATTAATGTGTGTGCATCTGCGTTTGTTTGCTTCTCTGCTTGTTCCCGTCTTTCTCAAGGACAGGACCGCCTCCTGCTTGTTTTTCTGTTCCTCTGAAAAACAAGGGAACATTGTGCTACTGAAGCTCCAGCGACGAGCAACAGCAGGGAGGGCCAATGAAAACACTACTAATTAAATACACCCGCCTTGAAAACTCAAAGATCGATCAGGAAGAAAAAAAGAAAAAACATTCTTTTCTCTTAGATGGCTGATCGATCAAATAACAAGAAAGATAATCGATTCGAAATATCACAAATCAGCCTGAAGGTTTAAATAATTTAGTGTTAAAGAATTTTTTTCTCATCCCTTTATTCATCAATTGGAAAAAGTTTGATAATGATAAATATCCCAAAACGTGCATTAGTACAGTTGGAATTAATCAACTTGTCTCAGAACAAAGATTAAACTCTGTTTTAATCAATAACAAAAATCTATTTTCAAGCCACTTCACTGACTAATTATTTCACAGACACGGAACCGTCACATTCTTGTTTTTCTTAATTTCCCTCACTGAGAGCCCACACGCAGAAAACATGTTGTGGTGCGTTAAGTCTCCTGCGCTGCATATTGTCATGTTGTCTAAACTGAAAACCCACCGCTCACATCAGCACAGGACGCCAGAACAATGAGTGCCCATTAGTCAGTGCTGTTGTGACTGTTTTCTTGTCATCTCGCTTTGTTAAACCACAACAAAAGAGACGCGGCGAGTGAGACGCGCTGTTGTCCATTATTTTACACGCCAACATCTTTAGTTAAGACCCCACCCACAAAGAAACACGCATCCCGTCATGTCATTCATCACGCTGGGTGACAGGCAGACGCCACTCTTCTGCCGCAAAGAAACAAAAGTCACCACCAGACAGCTGTGGTCTGGGTTATTGGTAATTTGCTTCATATTTAAACCTCAGTTCTCATATTCAGTTCTTATAGGACTGGGCGATGTATCAAAATAAACATTTTCATATGAATCTATATCAACAATTATCTCGATAAATGTCACATTATCATATCTTTTAAGTTTAAAGACTGATTTTCACTCTTCTTGGTGAATTTTTGGACAATTCTTTGTAAACTAAACTTGACAAACACTTGATTGCAAATGAGGAAGATCAACAATGTGTGCATCCTCACTGTGTTCACACAATGCTTCAGAAATGTTTGTTTACAATATAATCATCAGTGTGATAAGAACTACTGTAAATAACTCAAATATTTCTGAGAAACGTATTCGTGTGATTCGTGTACTTTTGACTTTTCAGTTTGGTCCACTAACATGGATGAGGCAGAGTTTATGACCTAAATTACAGCCACCAGGTGGCGATCAAGACGCTTTGGCTTCACTTTTGAGAAGTAGTCGTCCATCTTTAAAAACAGTCTATAGTCTAATGTGATCTAAGCTTTCCTACAATGGCTGGGTTCAAGTCTTAAAACACCTCCAGCAGGTAAACTCTGTCACTGACTTAACCTTCAGCCATAACATCTTTAAAAGTTCCATTTTGTATTCAGTTTATGTGATGATGTGACACAAGCACCACCTCAGCAACACTGAATAATGGATGGTGAAAACTCGCAATCACACTCGTCACGTTAAAGTCCTAAAAAGTCAGCGTGTTTCCTTAAAGTAAACCGAGCAAACATTATTTCCCAGTTATATTTAACGTGTTCTCCACCCACACTGATTCAACAACAGTCTGCACACTCACTTTCTTACAGGAGAGACTGCAGCTGCTGCTTTTTTTGTCCTCATCAATAAAACAAATGCAGTGCCATTGTGTTTATCCCCCTCAGGCTCACAATCCCTCCTCTGGGAGTGTTTAAGTGTTTGTGAGCCAGAGAATGTTTGAAGCGTTTCTCTTGTTGATTGAAGGGGCAATGCAAAGCAATCACTTTCGGATAAAGGAGAGGACTAACGGCATCGCAGGAACACGGAGAAATGAAAGAGGGATAAAAATAGGAGGGAAGAACCGAGTGAAGAAGAGAGAGGGTGACTTCATCTTCACACCCTGAGAGGAATCCCTCTCTTCTTCCCTCCATCCATATGCTGATCACCATGTGGTCAAAGGTTGTCTTGTGGTTTTGGTGCCGTTTTTTTTAACCATCTGGTCGAAACACTTTTGGGTGACTTCATCTTCACACTCCTTCCTCCCTCCCTGAAAATATATATTTACTCATATTTATGTTCTGTGTTAAACTGTGTTGCTTCTGTGTGGAAAGGATCGACCTTCATTTGAAACCAGAAAACAATCGTACAACGGAATATTAAGGCCACTACATTTGAGAAAATCATCAAATATTCATATTAAAACAATTATGAACCAATTTTATGATTTCTTGAGAAACGACGAAGCCTCTTAGACGAGCACACAGATTGCAGTCGAACCACTACCAAACATTTCCTCCTCCACGAAAGAGGCAATTTCCTCCAAGTCTGTGTGGTTCTTTTGTGCACGATGTGTTCAAAGTCCTGATACGACATAATGTGGTGCTGAAGAATCCACAGTTCAAGTATTTTATTATTTGTGAAACTTCTAATCAAGCTTAACTTATCAAGATGCTCCACATTCCTCATTTTTACGTCGGCGACAGGCTGATCTTCTGTTATCCCCCCTCTAAAAACACACTTAGTCTACAAGTATGACTCTATTCTCATAACATTACGACGAGGCAGCTTTTAATTTATTCAGTTTTAGTTCTTTTGTTGGCCCATACCCCGTCTTTCCACCAAGTAATATGGCTCTGGTAGTGTTTTTGCTAAAATTAAGACAAATTTAATGGAAACATTACCTCTGTACCGGAGGTAACAATTAGGTTGTACAAACAAAATTCACCATGGACAATTTTTCATAAATAAATCAGATTCCTACTGTGTTAAAAAATATAAATCATTTACTTCCAGTTTGTAACTCTTGACTTTCTTAGAGAACTGATCCAATCCCTCAACGTCTCTGTCTATAAAATACACGACATACCTGGATTTGGTTGATGTACAAATAAACTTTGTTTTTAATATTATTAGTTAAACTAGTTTGGGAGCAGTAATATCCTCCTTCTTATGCACAAACACATACACACACACAAACACACAGTGGATTCTATAGCATTACTGGGCTGCGGGCCTGAAATGTAGGTTTCATTAGAGGATCTCATCCCTCGACCTCCCCCACAGGGAACTCATTCTATTAACCCAGATCTATAATTGACTTCTCCTTTTAAACATACACTGCTGACAGAGAGAGGAGGGGGGGTGGGGGCAGGAGGGAGGTGGGTTGATTTATACAGTTACACAATATTACTGATTGTAAAGAAGTAAATGTCTTTGTGTTCTCTCCACCTTCCTCTGAAGCTTGACCTTATCCTCTCATGCTCTTCACCCACAAAGAAATCGTTATTTTATCTATCTACATTTTATCCTCACATCTGAATAAGATAAAATAGACTTTATTAAACCTGAAGGAAATGCTTGTGCCAGCTTGTTCTACGATTAAAGCAACAGTACAATGTACAATATAATAAAACAATAGATTATTAAGAGAAAAATAAAAATGTTAAGCGTGAGTAAAAGCAGAACGATTGCCGAATAGAAATAACAAGTTACGTGAGCTGGAACTAATCACAGCTGACATTGGGGCGAGGTCACCACCATATCACTGGGCCAACACACAGACACACCTACTGACAATTTATAACCTCTAGTTAACTTAACCCCAATCTGCATGAGTGTGGACTGTGAGAGGAAGCAGGAGAGAACAGACACGGGGAGAACATGCAGACTGCACATGAAACCACCACAGTCATGAGAAGCTCCTTGCTGAGAGGTGCAAAAGTGAAAATGTTTGACGAAGATGATTTGGAAATGATTCTAAAGACCTAAAAATACAAAGGAAGGAAGATTTTGATAATATGTGATTCTGCTTCACCATTCGTCGATGCACCAATCTGTCCCTGGCCCCTGAATGTGTTGCATGATCAAGCTGAAAATAACTGAACTCAGAGCTGATGACTGTTGAAAGTACATCGCTCTCCGCATTTCATGCTCAAAAAGCCACTTCAGTGCAGGCGTGCGTGGGAGAAAACAATGTGTCAAGCTGAAAGCGCACAAATCTGACAGCGCTATTAGCAAACCTTCATCCAGGTGTTCCACGCCAAAGACGGAGCACCTTTATGATCAAATGAAGACATTTCATCTTGATTTGTTTTTCTTCAAATGAGGCACACATGTAAAATGTCTGGGTTTAGTCCTGAGAATTGTTGAAATCAATTTTATTTCTGTCCTTGATATGTTCTTATTACAACATTACATAACTTTGAAACCCCTGGTGTTATAAACCTGTGCATTGAGAGCGTCCCCCTCTTCTTGCTTTCTTGTGTAATCATCTGCAGAGGCTACCTGTCCTCCCGTCTCCTATATTTAAATGTGAAGCCCGTTTGGAACAGAGCTAGCCTACATTCCCACTGTGCAGGAACAGAGGTTGTAAGGCCATGAACTCATTAAGGAGATGACATGGTGGGGGTGGCTAGGCCCCCGTAATTAAGTGCAGCGCCCCCCTGGGTGGAGTGGCATTTAAATAGAGGATGTACAGAATAAGAGATGGTTGTGGAGGGAGGGATGATGGTGGAGAAGGAGAGAGGGATCGTGGAGGAGAATGTGTGACGATTATAGAAATATAGACAAGTGTCGTAAAAAGTGAAGGG